TGCAGTATCTATGTTGGTTAACTTTGCTTCTCAGGTTTTCTTTCACTTCCGTCTATTCTGTTAACTTCCTCTTACCCATGAAACCTGAACCTGCTCTTCCTTAATGTGTCTTTCTTGTCCGTTGTCACTCAATTCCCTTAATTTATCCTTCCCCCCTCTCCCTCTGTACATATCTTTGTTTATTCTACCACCTTTCCATTATCCTCTTCCTCTCTGTCCCTCTCTGTCTCATCTTCCTCCCCCTGGTTCCTCCTCGCCTCCCTCGCTCGTTTGTCTCCAGGATGATGAAGACGATCACCCGCCTCCACAGGGCCATGATGGTGCTGGAGTATTTCACCAGTCACTCCTGGGTGTGGAACACCGACAACGTGGCCATGCTGTTGGCACAGATGAGCCCCGAGGATAAGAAGGTACACAGACTCGTGATCCTGACGTATGACGCACTATTCGGTATATTAAGTGTTAAATAGTCTTTAAAAAATGCATCTCATGAAATAAATTTGAATTCTATGACACAAGTTGCAGTAACTGAAACGAAGTTTCGAGGTAGTTTTGAAAAGTAAATCAGGCAGAGAACCAGATGCTGAACATGCAAATATTTGTGCCTCGGCCCACGTCTGTTAAAATGTTCTCTTTATTCCTGTAGGTGTTTAATTTTGACGTGCGGCAGCTGCATTGGGCGGAGTACATGGAGAATTACTGCATGGGCACCAAGAAATACGTCCTGAATGAAGAGCTGTCGGGTCTTCCTGCTGCGCGCAAACATCTTAACAAGTAGGAATCTGTGCAATCGAATACATGAAGAGATGCACAGGATGTTGTTATTCTCCACAGGATGTTGTTATTCTCCACAGGATGTTGTTATTCTCCACAGGATGTTGTTATTCTCCACAGGATGTTGGAGGCACTTTACAGTCGATACATTTGCATTAACACTAATTCATCCTCGACTACTTCTCCTCATCCGTCCACTAAGCACTGGTGTCTTTTCCATTTGTCAGGGATGTGGGTTTGACAGTGAAAACAGACTTTCTGAAGATTGTTAACATGATGCTTTTCAAATCTATATCGTATTTAGAACATTTGATTGTTTCTCCAGTAGAAGGCCACGGCCTCTATCGTCTGTCTCATCACGTCGGAGGCTCGAGATGACGTCGTTAAGCTTCTTTATGTGTGGTGTTGATTACGCAGGGTGCTGTCGGAGAGGAGCGGAGAAAATAAAAAATGCAGAAAGCATCACACGTAAGATTTGTGTTTGTAAAGTTTTCTGAACTCTGTTCCTCAGGCTCAGGAACATCCGCTACACCTTCAACACCGTCCTGGTGGTGCTCATCTGGCGCGTGTTCATCGCCCGCTCCCAGATGGCCCGAAACATCTGGTACTTCGTGGTGAGCCTCTGCTTCAAATTCCTCTCCTACTTCAGAGCCTCCTCCACCATGAGATAGTGAGCCGGGGGGGGGGGGGGGGACGCGTCGATGACGGCTGGCGAGGCGGGGGGACGAAGACGAGGAGAAAACCCTGGAGCTCAGCCCTACAAATGGTTCCGCGCTGTGTTTCCTCAAACACTCTAAAGATTAAATGGATGCATTAAAACACAAAGGACACAGACGGAGCCACTGGACGAGCCTCTGATATCTCAGATAATCTCTTCAGAGAGCATGGATTTATCTCACAATGTTGCAGACTAACAGCACTTGGACTAGTTTAAGAATCAGGACCACACTCTCTAATCCTCTTCACACTCACACTCTCTGGTGCCAGCTTTACTCTGGAGCACTTCCTGTATCCCTGCTCCGTGTCGTCTGCGCGCTCGCCTGGCTGCAAAATGAAGCTATGCATTGGATGATGCTCTGCTGCAAGAATCCTCCGCTGGTTTCGAGTCGGCCCAGACATTGTTCCTGTACTGTAGGTTTTTTTTTATCTAAATGTAGTCTAACCCGCTTCACCTGCTGTGTGGTTCAAACTCCCTTATTTTATCTGCCTGTACGTTCGTGTGAGGGTCTCGTCAGTTTAACGGAAATGTTTAAAAATAAATTGTTTAAAAAAATTTTCAAAAAAATGTGTCAGAGCGACAGGCGCGGAATTAAGAGCTTGGGTTCTGGGGGGTGTTGAAGATGACGGATGATTCTGAACTAACCCGGTGAATGTTTGTTCGGGCTTAGCAATCATAGATAAATCTGTCCTTTCACCCCATGTTCATCATCACAGTGCCCCCTCAGGAGAACCGAGACATTTGTAGATGTTTTGGCTCTCGTTGGCTCAGACGCTCCTCTTATCAACAGTTGTCTTCGGTCGTCCTGCCCTCGTCCTTCGCTTTGCAAAGACTCAACATTACCGTGCTCCTAAAGTGACCAGTTCCCTTATTTCAACATTGCAGATTGTGACACGATGGTCGGTGCCTACAGATCTTGCAGATGAAGCTAAGCGACTTGTTTCGACATAGTTTCGTGTGTGAAAGTTATTTGTGACGACTCTTTTTCTCGCCAAAGACTCGCGGCTCGGTTGAGGAGGAGACTGGCGGAGTCGAGAGGAGGAATCTCGTCATGTTCGGCTCCTTTTTTTGAACTTCCATCATCTCAAGTCGCAGCCGGAACACATTCATGTCGACTACTTCTTTCTTAGTAAGCTACATTTCACATAGCTCTGTCTGTAGCGTGTCGTCTTTGTGAACGGTTCATTTGAAATGATGGATCATTTGTAAAGGGAGGCGGCAGGAGCAGGTTTTTCAGGATCCATCATCTTTCTGTTGCCTTCTTGCTAAATAAACTCTTTCAGAAAAGAACCTGAGCTGAAACTAAAGCATCATTCATCTCCGTGTTCCGACGGGAATCACTCTTCAATGCCATATGACGTCTTAAGTGAGCACACCTGAGGTTTACCTGTGCCCATATTTCTATTTCCCACACACACACACACACACACACACACAATGGGGGGGGCACATCAGCTGGTGGTTTGTCGTCGTCACTCTTGTCTTCACTCACCTCCTGTGTCTTGTCCTGGGGTCTTTTAATGAATGTGACTCTTCACTCTCAGCAGCATGAAGCACTTTCACGCGGGCTCATGTGACGTGTGCATGCGAGAATTGTGCCTGAACTTTTGTCAATAGTCTAACAATGTGAAAAGAGCAATCAGATCTATGTTTTCTAATTATTTTGTGTACAGCTCTATTTAGGTAGACTTCAGAAATCAAGATGTATAACTGATGTATTTTTGTGCTAACGACATTGTGGCTGTTTTACTGACGAAGCAACCGCAGCTGCTGTAAATAACGACACGTGTGAACATGAGCGCAGAATGTTCAGAGCTGGTTTTAATAACCGTTTTTAAAAAATGCTTGTTCCTGTAAACGTGCGCGTTCTTTCTTTCTGTCTGAATGTAGAACAACACGGCCTGAACTATCTGCACATGATCTTCCTCTGACTCACGAAACAACAACTTATCAAACTGTAATTGCCTGTATTTGAGGCTGTGCGATGAATCCTCGCTGTTGTGACTCATTTTCGTCGTGACGGTGTGTGTGTGTGTGTGCGGGTCGGTCTTTGTGGCGTTGAACGTTGTTGTGACGCTTTCACGTGGCGCGTCTAATTCGTGGTTTTTTTTTTTCCCGTTGAGCTCGTCTCTGTGATTTGAAACTGATCCTTTTTTCCGTGTTCTTGATTTCGATGTCTGGCAAATACCGATGGTTTGTTCATCAGTCAGGTCGTCACACTGAAATGACTTCAGCGTTAACTCGGCTTGGAATGATTCACATTGATCCTTTCATTCAGAGGAAACAGGTTTTAAAGGAATAGTTTTGGGACGTTGGGGAAAATGAAAATTAGCTTCTTTGCTGAGTGTTGGAGGAGAAAATCGACATCACTCATGTTCGTGCAGTGAATTTAAAGCTGTAGCCGGAAGTTGGTGTAGCATAAAGGCTGGAAACAAGTGGTAGCAACTAGCTTAGCTCAGAAATAAATATAACCTTCTTACCCACTAACTCAACATCCGGGGAAATGAATTCACTGAGACTGAGACATACTCACGTTTAGCAAATCAACCTCTGTTTCACTTTTATACAAATTAAAGACGGTGACGTGCGTGTGAGCTTCAGAGGTGCTTGATTGGTCGATTTCGTTAGCTTTAGCACTCAGCGAGGCTAACTGTTTCCCTCTGTTTCCAGTCTTAATGCTAAGCTAACAGTTTGTTGGCTCCGTTTACATTTATTGTGCAGAGACGCGAGCGGCGTCAGTCTTCTTGTTTCACATTTCGGGGGATACAAGCCGAAAGAGATTAACACTGAAAATCTTCTGCTTCATCTCGACACTGTATTTCTTGTTTTAATCAGAAAACACGTTCACGATAAAACTTATAGGAAAAAAAGAAAGTTTGAGAAAAGCTGTTTTCGGGGTCTTTAACGAAACTCGTCGTCTTTTTAATGCTGGATCACAGCTTTTTTGAAAACCTCATATATTTGACAAGTTACTGTTTTTTGTATATATCTATATTTTTCCCATCAGGCTTTTGTTGGAACTAATTGCTGTTTTTGTTACAATCATTTAAAAAGATAATTAATGAACGGTTGTTTTCACGGAGTAGAAAAGTTACCCGTCTGTTTCGGACCTGTGCATCAACAACACCAGAGTGTGAGCGGTGGCTTTGTTTATTTATTATCACTATTTTTTTACTTTCCCAGCTTCTTCTCTTCGTTGCTTCTTCGTACATGGCTGACACATCGTTTTTCTGTTCAGGCTGAGGTTGTGATTGATTTCAGAATTTTTTTTTTAAATGTGTGGCTCACGTGGTTCTGAACGTCGACTCTTCGTTTCATCGCAGCGTAAAAAAAAAAAACACGTCAGGCCACAATGTCGAGTTTCTCGCCACAGTCAAGTGTCCGTGTGAAACTCAAAAAAAAAAAACAAGACAATAAATCAATGGTGCCTTTTGTTTGTAAACCAAAAAGAAGGAATAAACAGATTAATCCTCTTCCTGTTTGACATGTTTGATTTCTTTTTTCTGACGCTGACCTGTTTCCTGTGTCGGCCACTTCACACTCTGCATCAGGAAGCCAGATTAAAGCGGAGGCCGTTGAGCGGCTCCATTAAGATTTAATGCCGTCACTCAGGATTATGTTTGACTGCATGAACGTAAGCGTTGGTGACTTCATGGCTCAATTTCGATTTTCTCACTTTAACCTGTAAAATCTCATTTCTTTGTTCAAATCTAAAACATCTTGGTAGAAAAAACCACCGATGATCAAAAGATACCAGGTGAAGTCACTGGTTCACCGAAAGTGCAGCCGTCTGATCCGTTGGCCTCGCTTGACTCCGCAGAACGACTCTGGAGATTATCTCTGGATATAGTTTCACACGAGAGAGGTTTCTGTTTCTCACGTTTGTGAAGTGGGTCGAGAGACAACGGCCGTCCAAGGCTCCTTCTTTGTCATTTAAAACTAAGAGAGAACCACGATCAATGAAGTTTGGATGAGTTATGTTGGAAAATCAACATAAATAAATGACATGAGATTCAAAATCATTAAATACTCATAATAATAGTTTTGATTTGGTGTTTGATGAAGTTGATATAAGGATATAAATAATATGAATATGACAAAAATAAGTGTTGAGCTTTGCACAACTGGAGTATGAATTGGAGACGCCGCGTTATATCAGGATTAACCATGAGTTTTGTTTTTCTGTTCCTCCACGCTGACGACAGCCAGTAGCCGGAGACGTGAAGTTTTCTGGTTCTCCGTCAGTTCCGTTCTTGAGAACACGGTATCTCAATAACGTCTTGAGGGAATTGAGAACAAATATTCACCCTGACCCCGTTTGGTTTGGCTCAGGCTGTATAAATAAAATGTGGTATTATTATCACGATGAACTGATTAGATGTGAGTGGTCAAAGGTCACTGTGACTTCATGAAATCCTTTTCCCTCATTGAACCAGCTTCTTCAGGATGAGAGAGCTGTCTCCCCCCCCCCTCCTCCTCCATGTTTCCCGCTGCGTCTCTGCTGCATCAGACACTGAACACGGTGCCACGGTGATGGGAGCCCTTTGTATTTTAATGCTTCTCTGTCCAACGCCTGGCAACGGCAGCGTGGCAACGGTGGCCCCCAGCAACCATGCACAAACAGTGAGTCACAACCAGCCGCGCACACCCAGCGGAGCCAGGGCCGCTGGGCTGAGCAAACAGGAACAAGGGGCTTAGAGAGCTTAGAGAGGGAGCCCCGAGGCTGACACACACACACACACACAGGATCACAGCCAACATCTAAACAGTCCAGGTTAATGAGCTTTTAACTGTTTGATTTAACGGCTGATTAACACAAAAAAGAAAAAAGAGAAAATCAGGTCCACCTCCTTCAAACCACCTTTACAAACAAACTTTGACTTGTTTCATTTAAGAGAGACCGAGAGCTGGATTCTCTTTCTCTGCTCCAGAACTAGAAAAGTTGAACATTGGACTTAAACCCGTCCCGAGGTCAGAATCACAGTTTAGTCCAGTCGATGAATTCGTCATCGCTGCTAACTTCTTCTCTGTCAGACATTTTCTTATGTGCTTTAAACACTGACACACTTTTCCATGATGTTACGAACGTCCTTCCAATCATTGTAAATACTGTTATGTTGTTCAGTTACACGCAGCATCTATTGTACTCGAGAGAGAGGCATCCTCCCATGTGACTCACGGAGGTTTCTATCTTTTAATTGGTAGTTTTACTTGTTGAGTGTTAAGAACAGAGGGTGATTTGTGGGAAACAGGATTGATTTTAAAATGCTTGTGATCACATTTAAAACAAACTCAAAGTGAGATTTCTGCTCTTCTCTAGTTTTTCTGTCTCCGTCTCATGAAGCTTTGCCTCAAAGGTCAAACTCTCACAAAGAGCTCCGTGACTCAGAGCGACAGCAAACCTGACGCATGAAAACACAAAGAACAGAAAACTAAATTCTTCAACGTAGAACTTTCTCCGTCCAACAGTCGAACGTTCTCCCGAAATCAAACACACGCAACTGATTAGATTTCTCCACATTTACGTCAGCCCGTGCAGCGGAAGCGGTTTTATCCTCCCCTGGATCTTTGTCTGCGTTTTACGACTGTTGTCGTTAAACAGCGACCGGGATGTTTGTGTCTCTGTGTTCAGAACACGACACAGTCGACCTTCAGAGACGACTATCTGCCCTCACACACACTCACATCAGGTCAGTCTCTCTTGGTGTGTGTGTGTGTGTGATGAGGGCCGCCGCTGCTCTGCTCTCGCTCTCTTTCTGGTTCCACTCTCTCGTCCCTGCAGCTCAAACAGGTGAGTGACAGATGATAAAACACTGAACACAACGAAGGTGAGATGTTTGAGAGGTTTTCTTCTCGGCAGGTGTAAAATGTGGAGTCCCACAGGGCCGGGGGCCGACGGATCCGTCTGTGAGGGTGGTGGGAGGGAGCGAGGCCACGTACGGATCACACCCGTGGCTGGTCAGTGTTTAAATCCTCTGTTTCCCAGAAACCAATTTATTTTATGTGCATTCTGACTTGTTAGTTTGGTCCATGTCCCACCTACTAACATGGAGGTGGCAGGACAGCATATAACCTCGACTATAAGCAGCCACCAGGGGGCAATCCGGGTGTTTTGGCTTCATTTTCAGGGAGCTGCCATCTTTGTTTTCAGTCGATATTTTCATTTTATATTTCAGAGTCATTAGATGAGCGCACGGTAAGTTTGATTCAACATGCACTCGTCTCCTCTGAGCTTCCGTCTCTCTCAGGTGTCCCTGCGGCTCAGAGGCTCTCACTTCTGTGGCGGCTCCATCCTGACCGGGCGCTGGATCCTGACGGCCGCTCACTGCTTCTCGTCCGTCTCCAGGTTCTGGCCTCACTCACCGGCACCTTCACGACCTCCTGTCTGTTCCGACACTAACAAACTGAATCTGCTCAGAGAGTTCCTCGGAGGCGTGAGCGTGGCCGCGGGAGAGTTTGACCGCAGAGTGGACGATGAGGAGGAGCAGGTCTTCGGTGTGAAGAGCGTCACCGTGCACGAGAAGTACCATCATGCTTTGCCCATGGGCCACGACATAGCTCTGGTGGAGCTGGATCAACACATCCGGCTCGGCAGGTTTCCACTCTGACGATTAGTTTGATCGAATGTGGTCAAAACGGATCAGTGATGGATGACATGTGACTTTTACCACAGGGATCCGTGTCCAGCCGATATGTTTACCTTTACCTGATGAGAAAACCCTCCCTCGGACCAGGTGCATTGTGGGTGGATGGGGCAGGATAAAGGAAAGTATGTCATTTTCTCACCCCCACGCCAGATTTTGTAAAAGCAGAGAGGAACATCTCTTCTACTGTGGTTTCACAGGAGGCCGTCTTCCTGCGGTTCTGAGAGAGATCCAATTGGACTTGGTGGATCCGGCCAAGTGTAAATACGTCCTCCAGACTCTCCGAGGGCCGGCCCGACCTCAGTCCGCCATGACGGTTCTGTGTGCGGGGGCGGAGCGAGGAGGGAGAGACGCCTGTCAGGTAGAAATCTACTGAAACCACTGATGCTTCATCTAAACATATAAATCTCATTCCATCCCATCATTACTCCCCCGCAGGGCGACTCCGGGGGACCTCTGGTATGTCCTGCAGGGTCAGGCGGAGGTCACAGGGTGGCGCTGGGTGTAACCTCCTGGGGTAAAGGATGTGGTCGGAGCTGGGGCAACAACAGCATCCGCCCTCCTTCCAGAAGAGGCTCTCCTGGGGTTTTCACTGACGTCAGGCTGCTGCTGCCCTGGATCAAACGTGAACTACGACAGGGTGAGTCGGACGAGGGGTTTTATTATCGTCCCTCATTTTTATCCTGATGCATGAACTGTTTTTTATTTT